GGTGCGGCGGCATCGGCAGCGCAGCCCTCGTCTTTGGCCGCGCCCGCCTCGCAGGCCGCCGCCGACGACGGCGACACGCCCATGAAGGATGCTGACGCGGATGCCGAGGCCGAGGCGGAGCGCAAGGAGCACGAAAAGGCCAAGGCGAGCCTCGACCAGCAGCGCAGCGAGGTCAAGAGCACCCTCGTCCGACGCGCCCTCGAGCTGGCCGATGTCCACGACTCGCTCGTCTTCGAGGTCCGCAACGCGTTTTCGGTCGCCACCACCGAGGCCGACCAGATCAACGTTGCCCTCGTCGACCTGCACTCGGTGCTGAGCCAGCCGACCGACAACGCCTTTGAGACCGGCGAAAAGGGGATCGCGCTGCGCCTCCAGCTGCTTGCGCTCCTCCTCCACGACGATGACGTTCTCAAGAACGTCGCGTCCGCGACCAAGCGCGACTTTGTCGAGCTGCTGGTGGAGCTGGCGATGCTGTACATCTCGAAGCCCGCGGCAGCAGCGACCGCGACCGCGACCACCGCCACCACCCCTACCCCCGCGCCTGCCGACGGCGACCGGCCGGTGCCCCGAGACCTCGAGGGCGGCAGTTCCGCGGCCAGCAGCAAGTGGCTCGCGCCTCTGATGCTCGTCGCCACCTCGCTCCTCGGCGCCGACGAGGAAACGGTCGCGATCTCCGACGACATCAGCGAACCGAGCGAGCCCGAGTCGGTCGAGTCCGACGTCAAGCACAGCCTGCCGCCGGCGCAGGCTCCGTTCGCGCTCGCGGAGGAAGCCGCCACCCTGTTCGACTTCCTCTGCACCGTGCTCGAACGGGCCTCGGACCTGACGCGCGAAGACCTGCTGGCCGCCTACCGGCTGCTCATGGTCCTCACCCGCCGGCGCTCGATCTCGTCGAGCTTTGTCCGCCGAGGCGGCATCCAGCTCCTGCTGCGCCCCTTCCACACGATCCGGCCGAGGGATGTTTCTGGATGCCAGGTGCTGGCCATGATGACGCTGCGACACGTCGTCGAGGACCTCGGCACTCTTTCGCTGGCCGTCGAGCACGAGCTCAAGAGCCTGTTTGCCCAGACAAAGGGGCAGCGGATCGACACGACCTCGCTGCTGCGCCAGCTCGACTACGCGGCGCTGCGTGATCCGGACGTGTTCATGCAGGTGGCTGCCGCCAAGCTCGAGATGGTCGACCACACGCCGACCAAGAAGCTGGGCTACGTGCGCCTCGTCGAGGATGCCAAGCCGGCCATGGACTCGAGCAGCTCGTCGCCCTCGGACCTGGCCGCCAACGGGCAGGCCAGCCTCGCCAGCCTCCGCCTCGGCGACGATCCGATGGACGCCGGGCCCGCATCGCCCACCAAGGAGGCAGGCCCCTCGACCGAGGCGGCCAAGGCCGAAGATGCGGCCGCACCTGGCAGCAAGCAGCAGGCGGACCCCGCCGCCCGCGCACCGCCGCCGACAAATGCACCTTCGGAGGAGCTCGACATGCTGATGCAGCACCTGCTGTCGGAGCTGCTGCGCTACGGCCGCGAGGGTCTCGTCACGGCCAAGAAGGCGACTGCAGCATCGCCCAACCAGCCCGCCACCGCCCAGGGCACCAACGCCACCGCCACCGCGTTGGCGACGGCGAATTCGTCGAGCGATGCCGAGGCCACTGGAGCTCCGACAACGGCGGCCGATGCCTCTGCAGACTCGTCTCCTCAGGAGCCCAAGGAGCCCGTCGAGACCGACGAGCAGAAGCGCGCGGACTCAACCTACTTCTACACGTGCTTCCTGATGCAGTGCCTCACCGAGATGCTCTCGTCGTACAGCTCTTGCAAGTCGTCGTTCGTCAACTTTAGCCGCAAGCGCCTCTTTGCCTCGAGCGGGGGCGGCATTACCGTCCCGGCCACACCGGGCGCAAAGGATACGGCGACGACGGCGGCGGGCGCGAGCGCGAGCGCGGCTGCAGCTGCGCTGCCCTTCCGGTCCAAGGCCAACGTGCTCGGCTTCTTCCTGACCGAGATGGTGCCCGCCGGCTTCCTACAGTCGTACGAGTCGGGCGAGCTGCGCAAGCGGATGGCGCAGTCAAACTGGGCCATGTCGGTGATTGTGGCGCTGACGGCCGACGTCACGATCCACGCCGATCTGCGCGACGTCCCGGCCGAGCTGGTCAATGTGCGCCGCATTGTCCTCGACGCCATCGCCAAGGCCATCAAGGACGCTTCGGCGTCGTCGGAGCCCATCGAGGTGCGCTACGGCCGCCTGTTTGCGCTGAGCGAGCTGTGCCACCGGCTGCTCATCGCCCGGCCCAACATCACCTCGGGCAAGCAGACCGAGGACCTCACCCTGCACATGGCCAAGACGATGCTCGAGAAGAACTTTGTCACGGTGCTGACCGGCGCGCTGGCCGACGTCGACCTCAACCTGCCCACGGTCAAGTCGCTGCTCGACACCATCCTGCGCCCGCTCGAGCACCTGACCAAGGTGGCCATCAAGATGGGCAAGGCAAAGGACCGCGAGGGCAAGGCGGCCGTCTCGGACGACTCCGACGCCGACACCTTTGCCTCGTCCGACTACTCGATGGACGAGGACGAGGATGACGACGACGACGACGACGACGACCAGGACGCGCCCGGACGCGAGGAGACGCCCGACTTTTACCGCAACTCGAGTCTCGGCATGCACACCGGCGAGATGGAGACGGGCTACGACGACGACGACATGTCCGACGACGACGACGACGACATGGAGGACGACGAGGACATCGACATGGAGGAGTTCGACAGCGAGTCGGGCAGCGAGACGAGGTGAGTCGGGTCGAGTCGATGGTGCTGCGCCGCGCCGTGCCTTGTCGACGCCATCCGCCACGATTCCGTGGGCAGCCGGCTGATGCATTCGTTTCCCATCCCTCCTTGACTGCCCGCCCTTTCTCGTTCCTCCCTCGACGACAGCAGCGAGAGCGACGAGGAAGACGACGATCCTCGCGTGGTCGAGATGATGGACGACGACGACGACGACAGCGACATGAGCGACGGCACCGGCTCCGACATCGAGGGCATGGACATGCCGGAGGACGGCGACGAAGAGGGCTGGACGGACGAGGTGGGTGCAGCGCCGCCGCGCGACGAGCCGTATCCCTGCTCCGATTGGCCATCCATGACTGACTCTGTGCCGCGTCTCTTCTTCCGCCCAACGTGCCACCAGGACGAGGAGGATGACGAGGCGCTTGGCGAGATGGACGGCGCCCTCGACTTTGTCTTTGACGACGGCGAAGGCGACCTGCCCGAGGTTGCCGAGGCGTTTGAAGACGAAATCGACGGCGGCGGAATGATTGGCGATGCCGAAATGGGCGGCGACGAGATCATCGACATCGACGACGACGAGGACGACGAAGACGCCCTCGACGGCCACTCGATCGAGGACTACGGCGACGGCGGGCTGCGCGAGCTCGAGCTGGCCGAGGACTACGCCGCCTACCCGCAGGCCGACGACCGCTTCGGAGCCAACTGGAACTGGACCGCCATCCCTGCCGATCCCCGGTCTGGCCGCGGCGCGGGAGGCGGCGGCGGCAGCGGTCTCCGCTCCCACCCAGCACTGCCGCCCAACTTTTTCCTGCCGACGGCCATGGACAACTTTGCCCAGGCCTCTGGCCGTCGACCTCGCGTCATGGACCTCGAGGCCAGCTTGCTTGGCCCTCGGCGGATGGCACCGCCCTCGGACGACGTCGCGAGCCACCCGCTCCTCGTCGAGCAGGCCAGCGGCGG